CCTCCTCCTCCTCCTCCTCCTCCTCATCCTCCTTCTCCTCCTCCTTCTCCGCCTCCTCTTCCGCCTCCCTCCTCCTCCTCCTCCTCCTCCTCCGCAGCGGCGGACGCCGCTCCCGCGCTTCGGGTCTGCGTCAGGCTGCCGCGCTCGTACTCGGGGTTGCCGCCTATCGACGAGCAGCTTTTTCGCGCATTGGGGATGCCTGATCCCCCAGTGCGCTTGCCGCCTGGCTCGGGCATTGCTGGGCATGTGCCGCACGGCTCGCACCTGTTGTGGCGCAAAGGCGCCCTCTCTTTTTGCAGCCTTTGTGGGCGCTACGCCGACTCCAGGCCCGCTCGGCTTTTGGAGGAGTGCGAGGCCACGCGGCACGGACCGCTCGCGCTGACTAAGGCGCAGCTCACCGCCCTGCTGCGGCTGCGCAAGGGCCTCCCTCCTAGGCCTGGGGTCCGCGAGTGGCCCACGGCGGGCGTTTAGCTCGCGCGTGTTTTTTCAACTGCCAGCCTGTCGCTCGGCCTTTTTGCTCTCGCGAATTGGGTGCGCGCCTGGCTGCCGTTCTTTGCAAAAACTCCTCCTCCTCCTCCTCATCTTCCTCCTCCTCCTCATCCTCCTCCCTCTCCTCCTCCCTCTCCTCCTCCTCCTCCTCCTCCTCCTCCTCCTCCTCCTCCTCCTCCTCCTCCGCCTCCTCCTCCTCCTCCGCCTCCTCCTCCTCCTCCGCCACCTCCCCCCTCCACATCCTCTTTCTCCTCATCCTCCTCCTCTTCCTCTCCCCTCCTCATTACCCCCCCTCTCCTCATCCTCCTCCTCCTCCGCCTCCTCCTCCTCGCTCTCGCTCCTCCTTCCTCCTCCTCCTGCCCTTCTCCCTCCTCCTCCTCCCTCCTCCTCCTCCTCCTCCCTCCTCCTCATCCTCCTCCTCAATCCCTCTCCATCCTCATCCCTTTCGCTCCCTCCTCTCCTCCTCCTCCTCCTCCTCCTCCTCCGTCCCCTTCCCCTCGTCCTCCTCCTTAACCCTCCTCCTCCCCTCCCCCCCCCCCTCCCCCTCCTCCTCCTCACCCTCCGCCTCCTCCTCCTCTCCCTCACCTCCCCTTCCCTCCCATCTCCGCTCCTTCCTCAATCCTCCGCATCCTCCGCCTCCTCCTACCCTTCTTCTCCTCCTCATCCTCCTCCTATTTCATCCATCATCCGCCTCCTCAATTCTTCCTCCTCCTACTCCTCATCCTTCTCCTCCTTCCTCGTTCCTCCAAGCCTCCGCCACCCCCTCCTCCTCCTCCTCCTCCGCCTCCGCATCTTCCCTCCATCCTCCGCCTCCTCCTCCTCCTCCCTCCGCCTCCTCCCTCCTCCTCCTCCTCCTCCTCCTCCTCCTCGTCCTCCTCCTCCTCCCTCCTCCTTCCCCCTCTGCCGCCTCTCCTCCTTCTCCTCCTCCTCATCCTCTCCTCATCCTCCGCCGCAGGCGCCGCCGCCGCCGCTCCAGCCTCCTCCGCCGCCTCCTCCTCCTCCTCCTCCTCCGCCTCCTCCTCCTCCTCATCGTCCCATTCCTCCATCCCAGCCTCCTTCCTCCATCCTCCGACTCCTCCTCCGCCTTCTCCTCCTCCTCCTCCTCCTCCTCCTCTTCCTCCCCCTCCTCCTCCTCCTCACTCCTCCTCCTCCTCCTCCTCCTCCTCCCCCTCCGTTCGTCCATCCTCCTCCTCTCTTCTCCTCTCCTCCTCCCTTCTCATCCTCCTCCTCCTCCTCCTCCACCTCCTCGTCCCCCTCCTCCTCATCATCCTCCTCCTCCTCCTCATTCTGGCCTGGGGCGGCCTCGGCCACGGTGTGCTGCCGTGCGAGCTGCAGAGGCTGGTGGGCTGGGCTGCAGGTTCGCTGCTGACGCTGCTGTGGGCCGGTGCTGCGTCGTGCCTACCCTGCAGCAGCGGGCGATGCTGTTCCCGCCCTGCAGCGTGCTGGTGTTCGCGCGGGTCGGCTCCGTGGTCTACTTCGACGCCTCGGACGGCCTATGCTACGTCCGCAGAGTCGAGGCGGTCTTCACCGAGAGCTCGGCTGCGGGGCCGATCGTGTCCGTGAAGACGGTGGGCGACATGCCGGGTGCGCCGGACGATCGTCCGCTATACAGCGAGGACGGGACGTCCTCGAGCCTCGCCCTGCGCCACGTGAAGGGCACCCTGGTGGCTGGCCCGTATCCCCTCGCAAGTGTGTTTGTTGTTGGTGCAGTCTGTCTGATATTGTTTCCGACGGCCCTCTTCTGTTTCCTCGCTACCCACCAGCCCACCATGGTGGTGTTCTCGGTCTTCCGTCTGCACCTCTGCTTCGTGCTCGTGTGCAGCCCCCGGGGCTAGATAGCCGGTCAACCGGGGTGACTGGAGCCGACAGATGCCCCGCCTCGCGACGAGATGGCCCAGACTCAGAAGGCGAAGAAGGCTGAGTGGGAGAAGGCGCTCTTGGTGGCGGAGGGAAAGTGAGTGGCGCGCCCCTGCGCAGGCTCGGCCAGGCGACGGCGTCGAGCGACTGGAGATCGCTGCCCCCTTTTTGCCTCATCCTCTCCCGCTCGCAGTCTTTTTTTCCGACCTTCACTGGATCCCCCTTGACGCAGTCAAGACGCTGAAATATTGAAATCCTCCTTCCCCTCCCCCTCGTCCTCCTCCGCCGCTTCCTCCTCCACCTCCTCCTCCTCCTCCTCCTCTGCATCCTCCTCCTCCTCCTCCTCCTCCTTCTCCTCCTCCTCCTCCCCTTCCTCCATACCCCGCCTCCTTCATCAATCCTCCGCCTCCTCCTACTCCGTCTTCTCCTCCTCCTCCTCCTCCTCGTTCCTCTATCCTCCGCCTCCTCCTCCTCCTCATTCTCCTCCTCCTCCTCATCTTCCTCCTCATCCTCCTTCTCTTCCTCATCCTTTTTCCTCCGTCCTCCTCTTCCTTTTCCTCGTTCATCCAATCCTCGCCTCCTCCTCCTCCTCCTCCTCCTCCTCCTCCTCCTCCTCCCCCTATTCTTCCTGCTCCTCCCTCTTCCTCGCCCTCCTCCTCCCCACCCCCATCCCCCTCCCCCATTCCCATCCTCCATCTCCTCATCCGTATCCTCCCTCCGCTTCGTCTTCCTCCCCCTCCTCATCGCTTCCTCCCCCTCCTCATCGTCTTCCTCTTCCTCCTCCTCCTCCTCATCCTCCTCCTCCCCTTCGTACATCCTCCGCCTCCTTCCTCCATTCTCCGCCTCCTCATCCTCCTTCTCCTCCTCCTCCTCGTCATCCTCCTCCTCCTTCCTCCATCCTCCGCCGCCGCCTCCTCCTCCTCCGCGTTCCTCCATCCTCCGCCTTGTTCTTCTCATCCACCTCCTCCTCCTCCGCCTCCTCCTCCTCATCCGCCTCCTCGTCCTCCTCCTCTTTCTTCCTTCAGCTTCCGCCTCCTCCGCCTCCTCGTCCTCCTCCTCCTCCTCCTTCTCCTCCTCCTCCTCCTCCTCCTCCTCCTCCTCCTCCTCCTCCTCCTCCTCCCCCCCTCCTCCTCCTCCTCCTCCTCATTAGTCGCCTCCTTCGTCCATCCCACACCCTCCAGCCTCCGCCTCCTCCCTCCTTCTCTTTCTCCTCCTCCTCTCCTCCTCCCTCTCCTCCTCCTCCTCTCCTCCTCCTCCTCCTCCGCCTCCTCCTCCTCCTCCTCCTCCTGTCGTTCCCCCTCTCCTTCTCCTCCTCCGCCGCCTCCGCCTCCTCCTCCTCCTCCTCCTCCTCCTTCTCATTCTCCTCCTCCTCCTCCTCCTCCTCCTCCTCCTCTCTCCTCCTCCTCCTCCCCCTCCTCCCCCCGCAGCCTCCGCCGCCTCTCTCCCATCCTCCGCCTCCTCCTCATCCTCGTCCGCTTTCTCCTACGTATCCTCATTCCTCCATCCTCCGCTTCCTCGTCCTTCTTTCTCCACCATCCCCCTCCTCCTCCTCCTCCTCCTCCTCCGCCTCTCTCCTCCTCCTCCTCGTCCTCCTCCTCCTCCTCCATCTCGTGTCTCCATCATCCGCCTTCTCATTCTCCACATCATTCCTCCATGCTCCGTCTCCTTCTGCTCGTCCTCTTCTTCCTACTCCTCCTCCTCCTCCTCCTCCTCCTCCTCCTTCTCATCCTCATCATCCTCCTCCGCATCCTCCTCCTCCTTCCTACATCCTCCATCCTCCATCCTCCGCCTCCTCCCTCCTTCTCCTCTTCCTCGTCAGCCATGGCCTCCTCCCCCTTTTTCCATCCTCCTCCTCCTCCCCATCCTTGTCTTCCTCCGCCTCATCCTCCTTCTCTTCCTCCTCTTCCGCTTCCCCCTCCTCCTCCTCAGTGTCTTTCGTTTCATCCCTGATCCTCTTCTTCTTCCTCCTCCTCCTCCGCCTCCTCCTCCTTCTCATCCGCCTCCTCATTCTCCTTCTCCTCCTCCTCTTCCCCCTCCGCCTCCTCCTCTTCCTCCTCCTCCTCCGCCATGTGTATCCTCCACCTCCTCCTCCTCATCCTCAGCCTCCTCCTCCTCATTCTCCTCCGCCTCCTCCTCCTCGTCCTC